TGAAATAGGAAATGCTTGGTTTTCTACCTTTCCAAAGTTCTTAAGGGGTCTTTTTCATTATAGGTCTAAGTAATACCTGGTTAAGAACGTAGCATGTCGTATTGACCGCTTCTCCCCAAAAGTATTGAGGTAAGTTATGCTCATTTAGCATGGCCCTTGACATCTCTTGCAACGTTATATTCTTTCGTTAAACTACTCCATTTTGTTGAGGTGTTCTTGGTGCCTAGAAATTGTGAGTAATTCCATTCTCATCACAATAGGATAAAACCGTGGGCACTCTCCTCCCAGGATAAAACCGCTATCGTGTGTGGAGATTGTACGGACCAACCACACACCAACGAACAAGAACAATGTAGGAACGCTGGTGACCAAAAACTTTGAAGGGGATGGCCGGAAACTTGGCTGGAAAATCAAGAGCACTCTCTAAAGATTAAACAAGAAAGTTTTTTTATCTCTTCTTTCTTTCTCACGTGTAAAGCCCCTCAAGAGAATGGAGAGAGCCTTTGATTTTATAACCAAGCCATTTTAAAAATTGTAACTCCTACACCATTAACCCATGGCATTTGTGGCACACTTAATACCGTGTTAATGGTGATTAATTAGCCATTAACACGTTCGTTACGCTACGCTCCGTTTAAAATTTGTCCCGAATAATTGGAGATTAATGGCCAGTTAACTCCGTAAAAATGGACTAATTTTAAACAATACGTAAAATTAATAATAGAAGATTGGTTCAATAAAATTGCAAAATTGCAATCCCTATCATATTCTTCTATTAACGGGTTAACTCTGAGAATCAATTTCTCATTCACCCTCTACTATTTTTGGCGTATAAATTATCAAAACATTTATCTCATTTAAGAGAACACACGTCCATTAATTAACGGTTAAAACCGTTAGTAGACCTATTGACAAATATACCCAAGTTGGTCCATTTAATGCCAATTAAAAAATGCCAAAAATTCCAACAATCCCCCACATGAAGTAAAAATTGATTTGGGGGTCGACAACATCCCACGGTTGAAAACCTGCAAAGAACATGTAAGTGTCTCCACTTTTGAACATGTCCCTTGTAAAGTATACCTTCTTTACTGGCTGTTCAGTAGAACGCGATGTCGTTGAACTGTACTGCCGCTTGTGTAAACGATAGTATACCATACATAGATTCCAACCAAACGCCGTTCTGTTCTCATGGTTGTGCCCATTTTGGTCGTGGGATACGCGCCTGGTTCTGCGAGAGTGTTTAGATGATTAAGCCCAAGATCCCCCGTTTGAAGCGACCACACTTCACTCTTACATAGGTGATTCTTTAAGAGTATCCCGATTACTCCACTTAGACCACCGTGTCTATTTTTAAGAATCATTAAAGCATATTTATATGCTAACCTCATCATTTTCAGGAGTCACTGTCTTCAGCAGGAACAGAAGGGACTGACCGGAGGTTCCGGTACTGCCCCCACAGTGACTACGCTTCATCCTACAAGTAGGTTGTCCCATTGAACCTGGGTACCAGCCATGTTGGGGTTTCCTTCATAGGACTGTCCTAGCACAAGGGCTTCAAACCCATTCCTGCCACCAACTTCTCATGCAACTCATTTGTTAACCCTTTGGTCAGAAGGGACTGACCGGAGGTTCCGGTACTGCCCCGACAGTGACTACGCTTCATCCTACAAGTAGGTTGTCCCATTGAACCTGGGTATTAGCCATGTTGGGTTTTCCTTCATATGACTGTCCTAGCACAAGGGCTTCAAACCCATTCCTGCCACCAACTTCTCATGCAACTCATTTGTTAACCCTTTGGTCAGAAGGGATTGACCGGAGGTTCCGGTACTGCCCCCACAGTGACTACGCTTCATCCTACAAGTAGGTTGTCCCATTGAACCTTGGTACCAGCCATGTTGGGTTTTCCTTCATAGGACTGTCCTAGCACAAGGGCTTCAAACCCATTCCTGCCACCAACTTCTCATGCAACTCATTTGTTAACCCTTTGGTTAGCGGATCCGCTAGATTATCTTTTGACTTCACATAGTCAATTGTGATAATCCCAGTTGTGAGACGTTGTCTAATGGTTTTGTGTCTACGACGAATATGTCTAGACTTACCATTATACATATTACTCTTTGCACGTCCTATTGCTGATTAACAATCACAATAGATGCAAACTGGTGGGACCAGTTTATCCCATCTTGGAATGTCCTCTAGGAAGTGGCGTAGCCATTCAGCTTCCTCACCACATTTGTCTAAAGATATAAACTCAGACTCCATGGTGGACCTAGAAATCACTGTTTTCTTTGAGGATTTCCAAGATATTGCTGCACCCGCTAGCGTAAAGACATATCCACTTGTGGACTTCAAGTCTTTACTATCAGATATCCAATTCGCATCCGAGTATCCTTCCAGTACCAGTGGATATCTCGAGTAGCATAATCCATAGTCACGTGATACCGCAGGTATCTCATCACACGTACAATAGCCTTCCAGTGCTCATCACTCGGATTGCAGGTGTATTTACTCAGCTTACTTATGGCACATGCTAAATCTGGTCGAGTGCAACTCCTTAGATATATCAAACTTCCAATAATTCTCGCATACTCGATTTGAGAGTTACTGGAACCTCGATTTTTAGCCAGGTGTGCATTGACGTCCAACGGCGTCTTTGCTACTCTAACGTCATCTTTGTTGAACTTGTCAAGGATTTTATCAATATAATGGGATTGGCTCAGTGCTAGACACCCAGGTCTTCTCACAATTTTAATTCCAAGAATTACTTCAGCCAGACCCATATCTTTCATGTCAAATCGCGAGTTTAACATGTCTTTGGTAGACTTGACCATCTTGTCATCGCTACCAACTATGAGTATGTCATCTACATATAGACACAACATGACATACCCTTGAGATGTGTTTTTTAGATAAAAACACTTTTCTGATTCATTAATTTTGAACCCAGAGCTCATCATTACCTGGTCAAACTTCTCATACCATACTTTTGGCGCCTGTTTAAGACCATATAACGACTTAACGAGTTTACATACTTTCCTTTCTTGACCAGGAACTATAAACCCTTCCGGTTGTTCCATGTAGATCTCTTCTCCTAGATCTCCATTAAGGAAAGCCGTTTTCACATCCATTTGATGAACTTCTAAGTTCCGCAAGGAAGCTATTGCAAGTATCATCCTAATGGAATTTATCCTTGACACAGGAGCATATGTATCAAAATAATCAAAGCCCTCACGTTGATTGTAACCCTTAGTTACAAGTCTGGCTTTGTACTTATCAATAGAACCATCTGGTTTCATTTTCCTCCGAAAGATCCACTTAGAACCTAACGGTTTGCATCCATGAGGTAGATTCACTAACTCCCAAGTGTGATTCTGCATAATAGAATCAACTTTACTTTTCATTGCCTCTTTCCACTGAGGGCCTTCAGACGAAGTCACTGCTTCACGATAAGTTCGTGGTTCATTTTCTAATAAACATGTTAGAATATCGGGTTCAGTCTCTATCAAAAATGATAGAGTCCCCGATTCAAATTCCAACAAATAATTTAGAAAATCATTACCAAAGGACTTCTTAGTCCGTGTCCTTTTACTTCGTCTTAGTTCAGTCTCAGTTTCGGTTTCATCAATTATACCGGTATTAGACTGATCCGAGGAACCATCGTTCAACACCTCATCATGTGAACATTTGGACGAACTTGCTTCTTCCCTCGACTTTAACGGAAATATATTTTCGAAGAATGTTGCATTCCTCGATTCCATTATCAAGTTCTTATGTATGTCTGGATTATCAGACCTATACACTAAGAATCGATACGCGCTACCACTGTAGCCAATAAAGATTCCATCAACGGTCTTTGGACCAATCTTTATTTTCTTTGGTGGTGGTGCTAAAACTTTCGCAAGGCACCCCCACACTTTCAAATATTTATAGGAAGGTTTCCTATTATACCACAACTCGTAAGGAGTCTTATCGAGTTTCTTTCGGGGTATTTTATTTAACAAATAATTGCTAGATAAAATAGCCCCCCCCCCCCACATATTTTGGGGTAGCCCCGAACTAAGTAACATCGCATTCATCATATCTTTGAGGGTGCGGTACGTTCCGCCACCCCATTTGATTGGGGTGTGTATGGCGGAGTAACTTGATGCACAATTCCTTGTGCACATAATTCGGTGAATAGAGCTTCGTACTCCCCGCCCCTATCACTTCTAATCGCTTTAATTTTGCGATTGAGTTGATTTTCTACTTCATTCTTATATCGAATGAAAGTGTCCAACGCCTCATCTTTACTTTTAAGTAAATAAATATAGGAGTACTTCGTGCTATCATCGACAAAAGTGATAACATATTTGTTACCACCTCTTGAAGGCGTTGCTTTGAAATCACACAGATCCGTGTGAATTAAATCCAGTGGCTGAGTGGTTCGTTCAATTGTTTGAAACGAACTTTGTGTTGACTTTGCTTCGACACACGTCTCACATTTGTGGGACTAGTCGATGTCAAACTTAGGGATATATTCCATGTTAATTAATTTCCGAAGAGATGCATAATTAACATGTCCTAGTCTTCCATGCCACACATTGGAAGACTCACAAACATAGGCAACAGGAGTTTTATTAATTTTCTCAACAACAGTGAGTACATTAAGCTTAAAAAGCCCATCAGAAATATAACCTTTGCCTATGAATATTCCCTTTTTGCTCAAGACCAGCTTATCAGACTCGAACACCATGAGGAATCCATGTTTGTTCAGTAGTGAGCCTGATACCAAGTTTTTCCGTATGTCTGGCACATACAACACATCATTTAGCGTGAGCTCCTTGCCGGATGTGATCTTGAGCTTAATTTTGCCCACGCCTTGAACCTCGGATTGGGCGGAGTTGCCCATCCACACCTTGTCATCGGAAGTCTCTTTAAAGTCAAAGAGCATGGCCCGATTGGAGCAGATATGACGAGTGGCTCCGGTGTCAACCCACCACTCTTTCGGGTTAGACCCGACCAGGTTGACCTCTGTCACGACAGCACAAAGGTCCAGAGCATCTAGCTCCGAGCAGAGAGCTTCTTCCTTCTACTACTACTTCTTCTAAAGCTTCTTGCAGCACTCTGAAGAACGGTGGCCCGTAATTCCACAATTGTAGCATTTCCCCGCGAACTTGGTCTTTCCGATGCCTCCTTTAGGACCAATTTTCTTCTTGTCCTTGTTTGGCTTGGGCCCTTTGGAAGAATCCTCTTTGGGTGGATGCTCCATCACATTGGCCTTAGCAACAGCTACTTTCTTCTTGCGAGTGAGACCCTCTTCACGGATCCAGAGATGAACAAGCAACTGTTCTAAAGTCATTTCTTTCCGTTTGAGCTTGATATAGCTCCGGAACTCATCCCAAGTCGGCGGGAGCACATGAATAATCGCCGCCACTTGGAATGCCTCACTGACTCCCATTCCCTCGTCAGTGCACTCATTAAAAATAAGAATAAATTCTTCAGCTTGACTGACCACGGGTTTGGAATCTACCATCTTAAAATCCAAGACCTTACCGACAACGAATTTCTTCGCACCGGCATCCTCGGCCTGGTATTTGTTGGACAGTGTAGTCCATAACTCCTTTGCGGATGCAGCCCTGCTATAAACAACATATAAGGCATCGCTCAAGCAATTCAGGATAAGGTTAAGGCACGTATAGTAATTCGCTATCCATGCCTCTTTAGCCTGAACTGTTGGCTCGTCCGCGTTCTCCCCCACAACAGGGGGATCCTCCCTCAAATACCTCGCAAGGTTGAGGGTGGTCAGCCAAAATAACATCCTTTGCTGCCATATTTTAAAGCCAACACCTGTGAACTTTGCCGGTTCTTTGACAGAGTTTGCAGGTAGCATGACAGTAGGATGTCCGACCGGTGCGGATGTGAAGACACCCGTGTTCGGTCCAAGTGAGGGAATGACCGGTATGGCCGAAGCCATATTCGGTCTGAGTGGGGTGACCATTGCGGCCATAGCCGCGGTTGGTCCAATAACCGAGGTGATCGGAGCGGACCCCATAGTCGCGCTCGATCCAACAAAGGTGGTGACCGAAGTGGACCCCATGGCCGCACTCGATCCGAAAGGCATATTGATCGGAGTGATCTGCCTGTAAGGCCCCGAAAATAGGCCTATCAGAATTAATTAATTGATAATTAATTAATTATTGAGAAGGACCCAAAATAAGTGATTTATAAAGTTTGTCTATAATTAATAAAAATAATATCGTTGTGTAGAATTTGACTGTCTGACTTCAACGGTTCAATCGGAGTTCAATTTGGAGAAAGTAGGACCAAAAAGTGTACCCCAACTGGGACTGAAATTAGTCCCAATCAGGGACTACACTCCAAACGGCGCTGCTGTTCGAACAGCGCACTAGCCGCACCAAATCTTCACGGAAATTTCACAAAGCTGGTTTCTTCCTCCCTTTTCCTATTATATAAGGAAACCTATCTTCCTCTATTCTTCACCAAAACACTCCATATTTCCTTCTATTCTGTTGCCCTGAGAGAGAAGAACACACTGGTGCTTTCAATTTCGTGAGAGGTCGCCAGAGTTGGGAGTTATCATCGCCGGAAAATTCTCAAAACCTTCGTTTAACTTCGAGGTAAGCCCGTAGATATATCTAATGACTAGAATGTTCATATAGGTCGTTTCTACGTTCATAAATGGTCATTTGGTTGAGTTTTGTGTTTGACATGTTAGAAGAACTAAGAATCATAAACCTTGAATTTGATGTTAAAACTCTAAATTAATGATACAAAAATGATCCATAAACATTGGAAAACATTTCTATATAGTTTAATTGAAGTTTGGTGACTAAAAACAAAATTCCCGAAAATAGACCCGAGGAGGAAGACGATGAAAAGTACTCGGTAACCCACTACCGCCGGCACGGTAGGAAGGTACTGTCAAAACGGTACCCACCTACCGCCGGGACGGTAGGGAGCTACCGTCGCTACCAAGCTCCTCTGGCGGTACCCCCCTACCACCGTCACGGTATCGAGGTACTGTTAGCTGGTATTGAGGTACCGTGAAGGGTACCGTCTGATCCGATTATTTTCCAGAAAATCCGATTTTCGAACTATTAAATCCTATTTTGACACCAATCAATTATGATAAATATGAATATGAATTCTGGATATAAAAAATGATGTTTTGACAATTAAAAGACCTTACGTGATGCATGACGGTAAGCTAGGGTGTTAACACTCGAAGTTGGACCGCTAATTGCTTTTGCTTTGAATGTTATGATTATTGACGATCATGATGTATGATTATTATGGATTAATGATGATGATTATTCTGAATAAAAGTATTGAACTAGAATCAAAATAAATGGATTGATGAAAAATGAGTTGTATTGTTAAGGCTATCTAGAAGACCTCTAAGATAGACCTCTGATTAGAATGGGCCTTGCGGGTATAATTATGTATATTCGGTGGCCTTGGGTAAAAACGTACGTACGGGATCCATAACCAAACTAGAGGAACTCGTTTGAGGATACCACCCAACCCGACAGTTAGTATCCTACTGTTCGGTTTTCTGGATTTGTACCTTAAGCGAAGGCTAGTTTAAGAGTTGGTAAATCAATCGGAATATATGTACCTTAAACTAATTACCTAGATTAAGAGTTGGATAGAAGTACCTTAAACTAGAATAAGTTTAAGAGTTGGTAATTATCACACAATTGGCCTTAGACTAAGCATAATTTAAGGATATTATTGAATAGTGAATGTGAATGTTGTTTATTGAAATATTGAAATAAAAATATTGATAATATCATGAATGACTTATATATTGTGTGCATGATATCAAATGATTGTTTGTGAATTGAGATTCAATTTGTGTGGATGCTTACTCAAATATTGATAAGGATATATGCTTACTCAGCTTCACCGCTGAGCATGTAGTATGTTTTATTTGTTACACGCAGGTAGACTAAATGAATGAAGTGATGATTTCTAGAGGCAAACGGGAGCGAGATGGTCGTGGTGATCATTTTAAATGAATTGATGTTTAAAAGACATAAAATTATTATGTTTTGTAATTGTTATATTCAGCTTCTGCAACATTAAACTACTCTGTTATTATCTTGGATAACTTTATTATTAAATAAAGTTTTTTAAATGTTGAATTATTTGAATATTCACGAATACCAAGTTTATTACTTTAGTCTGAAAGGGGCTGCAGACCTGGACGGATTAGGGTGTTACACTTTGGTATCGGAGCAAATGGTTTTAAAACCGATCTTCGGATCAAAAATTTGTTTTAATATATATATATATATATATATATATATATACACACACATACATATATATATATACATATATATATATACATATATATATATACACACACACATATATATACATACATATATATATATATACATATATATATATATATATATACATATATATATATACATATACATATATATATATATATATATATATATATCTATATTTTTGGCCCTAAAAAAATGATGTCAATCAAATCCACGACTCTCGCATCCCTCTGCTCCAGGAAGGTAATAAAAAAATTAAGTATTGAATTTGACTGTATTAAATCCTTATAGATGTCAACTATTAATTCGGAAATGATATCAAGTGTTGATTCAAGTCACACTTTCGTACATGGTAAAAGACGAAAGAACAAACGAAATATATATAACTCGGTGATACGTTATCAACGCGCCCATCGCTTCGCAAGAATAATGAAACGAAGGATTTATCTGTGCCGCAAGGCTGCATGGGAACGGGATGACCCGGAAGAGACATTCAGCATAGACTCTGCAAACAGCGTATGCGAATCGGGCGTAGAAGACCCTGCTGTAGAATCATTACGATCCAATCGAACGAATGCAAACGTTTAGAAATTATCCTTTTGTTCGTTTCAAATCCATTGATTGTATCGACTGTTGTAATCCTTTGCATTTCATGTCTTAAACTCAACTACCGAATAAAAGAATCCTAATAAAGGGATTTCTGTTATTGTAGAATGAGTCAAGAATTTGCCCACGGACAAGGCAACAACAATGAACACGTCAGTGTTCATACTGAAGCATCTAGTTTCACCCCTCCCGTCCAAAATGAACCCGTCAATCAACAAAATGTTGGGAATAACCCGAATTCTGGTGGTCAACCCGACCTTGTGATTCCAACTTTTCTGGCTAATGTGTTACAACAAATAGCCAACGCACCAATGTTTCAACCACCTCCAGCATCGCCACCCCGTGTGGTAACCTATAAGACGCTAAGAGATAACGGTGCCGAGATATTCCTTGGAGATCGTATCGTGGAACCCCAGATCGCATGGGACTGGATCAAGCAAACCGCTCGAGTGTTGGAGGATTTGAATGTGCCAATTGGTAACTATCCTAGGCTCGCTTCTCAACTACTCCGCAAGGAAGCCTATGAATGGTGGAAGAGAACTAACGAAATTGCAGAGACCCCAAAACCCTGGACTTGGGCCCATTTCGAGTGGGCATTCAAACAAGAATATATTCCCAAACGTTTTTGCGAGGAAAGACGTAAGGAATTTATGGAACTGCAACAAGGGGATATGACACTACCTGAGAATCGCCAGAAGTTCACCCGTCTTGCCAAGTTTGCACCAACGTTGGTGAGCACCCCAACGGACCGTATCGAAGAGTTCAAGAATAAACTTCGACCTGACCTTAGGTCAAGAGTATCCATCTTGACCACAGTGGATTTCGCGGCTGCTTACGATATAATAGCCAAAGCAGATAATGACTTGAGTGCCTGCAATGAGTATCTGAAAATGAACAATCCAAGTCCTAGTACTCATCAACCCACTAATTCTGTTTTGAAAGGAAAAAGGCTTTTCCAAGGAACTAGCAATTCACATTTCTCTAAAAAGGGGAAATCTGTACAAACTCAGTCGATGACATCCGTTGATAAGTCCAGAAAGCGGAGGTATCCTACATGCGAACACTGTGGAAGAAATCACCTGGGAGAATGCTGGCTTAAACAAGGGTTGTGCCTTGGATGTGGAAAACCAGGACATTTCCGAAAGGAGTGCCTTACAAACCCCGGAGAACCATTTTCACCTGCCCCTGTTGTTAGTCAAGCAGCATCGGCACGACCCGCACCTAGTCAACGCTCAACAGCGGGGTCTAATCCAGCCAAGAATCAGAACCAACAACAAGGACGAGCTCCTGCTCGTACATATGCAATGAAAGCACGAACTGAGGAAAACCCTGACGTTATTCAGGGTATGTTTTCCTTATTTGATACTGTCATGCATGTGTTGATAGACCCTGGATCAACGTTGTCTTATATCTGTGTACCAATGCCTGAAAAGCTAACATAATGAAAGAACATTTAGAACAACCTATACTAGTGTCTAACCCGTTAGGACATAGTATGAGGTTAGATCATGTGTATCAAGACTGTCCATTGATTGTTGAAGGACATCAGTTCTCTGTCAATCTTGTCGAACTACCGTACAAAGAATTTGACATCATCCTCGGAATGAATTGGCTCACCGAACACCAAGCAGTTATCGATTACCGACGACGAACGATTCAACTAAAGGCTGGAGAGGGAAAGTCTATAGAGGTGAAAGAGAAGCTAACACCTAGATCCACTGAATTCATCTCGTACATACACGCTAGGCGTCTCATTCGAAAGAAATGTGAAGCTTATTTGTGTAACGTACGTGACACACTAAAGGAAACTCCTGAGTTGAAAGACATACTGACAGTATGTGGTTTTCCTGACGTATTTCTTGACGAACTTCCGGGTATACCATCTTCCAGAGAAGTAGAATTTTCTATCGACCTTGTTCCTGGAACAGGACCGATATCTGCAACCCCTTATCGCATGGCTCCTGCTGAAATGAAAGAGTTGAAGGCTCAACTACAAGAACTGCTCGATAAAGGATTCATACGTCCGAGTGTTTCCCCTTGGGCAGCACCCGTTCTATTTGTCAAAAAGAAAGACGGTTCGATGAGACTCTGCATCGATTACCTTCAATTAAACAAAGTCACAATCAAAAATCGATATCCTTTACCTTGTATCGATGACTTATTTGATCAGCTTAGAGGGTCTACTGTATTCTCTAAGATTGACTTACGGTCAGGATACCATCAAATCCCTAGAAAGAAAGAGGACATCCCAAAGACTGCGTTCCGTACTTGTTATGGTCATTATGAGTTTACGGTAATGCCCTTTGGTTTGACCATGCTCCTGCAGTATTCATGGATCTCATGAATAGTGTATTCCGACCTTATCTTGATCAATTCATAGTTGTGTTCATCGACAACATTCTTGTATATTCGAAGAATCGAGAGGACCATGCAAAACATCTGGAAATAGTACTCAGTGTACTACGAGAGCACAAACTTTATGCAAAGTTATTCAAGTGTGAATTTTGGCTTAATGAAGTCACGTTCCTTGGTCATGTGATTTCGAAAGAAGGTGTTAAAGTGGACCCTAGCAAAATATCTGCCATCACCGAGTGGAAGGTTCCAAGGAATGTTCGTGAAGTGAGAAGCTTTCTAGGATTAGCTAGATACTATCGATGATTTGTTGAAGGCTTTTCCTTGATCGCAACTCCACTTAACAAACTTCTAAGAAAAGATGTGAAATTCGTATGGACTGATGCTTGTCAGCAAAGCTTTGAGAAACTAAAGAAATGTCTGACGGAAGCACATGTACTGACGCAACCAGTACCAGGTGTAGACTACACGATCTTTAGTGACACATCTCATAATGGCTTGGGATGTGTACTCATGCAAGACGGAAAAGTCGTGGCATACGCATCAAGACAGTTGAAGCCTCACGAATGTAACTATCCTACTCACGATCTTGAGTTAGCAACAGTTGTATTTACTCTGAAGATATGGCGTCATTATCTCTTTGGAGAGATGACATATATTCACACAGACCACAAAAGTCTGAAATATCTACTAACTCAAAAAGAATTGAACCTGAGACAGAGAAGATGCTTGGAATTGATCAAAGACTACGACTGTTACATCGACTATCACCCTGGTAAGGCTAACGTAGTAGCTGACGCACTAAGCCGAAAGATGATAGCCGAACTCTGAATCCAGCCTACTCCTGAGAACGAAATTCACGCTGCACAAAAACGTGACGACTACTGTTTGAAGACTTGTGAACTTGTCTCTAAGGGGGAGAGACAAGATTTCACTGTGAAAAATGGAATTTTAATCTACAAGAATCATTTGGTAGTTCCTAGTGGCGAAGTGAAGGAACGTTTAATGCGTGAATCTCAGAAAACCACTTATACCATGCATCCTGGTAGTAATAAAATGTTCCAAGATCTGAAGAAGACATATTGGTGGCCCACAATGAAGCGGGAAATTTCTGAATCTACAACACGATGTCTGACGTGTCAACAAGTCAAGGCTGAACACCAAGTGCCTAGTGGGTTGTTACATCCACCTACTATCCCTGAATTGAAGTGGGAACGAATAACGATGGACTTTGTGATCGGACTTCCATTATCAGCTAAGAAAAATGACGCTGTCTGGGTAATTGTTGATCGATTAACCAAGTCATCTCATTTTATCCCAATTCGACGTGATATGTCTTTGAAGAAATTGGCAGATTTGTACATCCGTGAGATTGTAAGATTACATGGTGTACCTTTGTCTATCATTTCTGATCGTGACCCGCGATTCACTTCGAAATTCTGGAAGAGTTTGCAGAAAGCCTTAGGTACTAAACTTAACTTTTGCACGACATTTTATCCTCAAACTGACGGACAATCTGAAAGGACAATTCAAATTCTTAAAGATATGATGAGAACATGTGTAGTTGATTTTGGAAGTAACTGGGAACAATACTTACCGCTAATGGAATTCGCTTATAACAACAGTTATCAAGCGAGTATCCAAATGGCCCTGTACGAAGCCTCGTATGGGAGATGTTGTAGAACCCCAGTATGCTGGATAGAATTAAGCGAGCAAAAGCTTGAAGGACCTGATCTCGTCCGTGAAACTGAAGAAAAGGTTCGTCTCATCAGAGAAAGACTGCAAGTGGCTTCTGACCGACAGAAATCTTATGCCGACTTGAAACGTCGCGAGATCGAATCACTGAACGTGTGGGTCTAGTAGCTTATCGGTTAGAACTTCCACCAGAACTGGACAAAATCCATGACGTATTCCATGTATCGATGTTGAAAAGATACCGTTCCAATCCATCGCATATCTTGACTGAGGGAATCGTAACTCTTGACGAACAATTGACTTATGAAGAGGAACTTGTACAAATTATGGCACGAGAGGTCAAACAATTGAGAAACAAATCCGTACCTCTAGTCAAAGTACTATGGAGGAATCACTCGACTGAAGAGGCAACATGGGAAACCGAAGAGTCAATGAGAACACAATATCCGAATCTCTTCAACCAGTGACTCAGGTAATTTCGAGGACGAAATTATTTTAAGGGGGAGAGAAATGTAACACCCCGAAAATAGGCCTATCAGAATTAATTAATTGATAATTAATTAATTATTGAGAAGGACCCAAAAATAAGTGATTTATAAAGTTTGTCTATAATTAATAAAAATAATATTGTTGTGTAAAGCTTGACTGTCTGACTTCAACAGTTCAATTGGAGTTTACTTTCGAGAAAGTTGGACCAAAAAGTGTACCCAAACTAGGACTGAAATTAGTCCCAATCAGGGACTACACTCCAAACGGCGCTGCTATTCGAACGGCGCACTAGCCGCACCAAATCTTCACAGAAATTTCACAAAGCTGGCTTCTTCCTCCCTTTTCCTATTATATAAGGAAACCTATCTTCCTCTATTCTTCACCAAAACACTCCATATTTCCTTCTATTCTGTTGCCCTGAGAGAGAAGAACACACTGGTGCTTTCAATTTCGTGAGAGGTCGCCGGAGTTGGGAGTTATCATCGCCGGAAGTTTCGCCGGAAAATTCTCAAAACCTTCGTTTAACTTCGAGGTAAGCTCGTAGATATATCTAATGACTAGAATGTTCATATAGGTCGTTTCTACGTTCATAAATGGTCATTTGGTTGAGTTTTGTGTTTGACATGTTTGAAGAACTAAGAATCATAAACCTTGAATTTGATGTTAAAACTCTGAATTAATGATACCAAAATGATCCATAAACTTTGGAGAACATTTCTATATAGTTTAATTGAAGTTTGGTGACTAAAAACGAAATTCCCGAAAATAGACTCGAGGAGGAAGACGATGAACAGTACACGGTAACCCACTACTGCCGGCACGGTAGGAAGGTACCGTCCAAACGGTACCCACCTACCGCCGGGACGGTAGGGAGCTACCGTCGCCACCAAGCTCCTCGGGCGGTACATGTCCACCGGCGGTACCCCCTACCGCCGGCATGGTATCGAGGTACCGTTAGCCGATATCGAGGTACCGTGAAGGGTCATGTCTGATCCGATTATTTTCCAGAAAATCCGATTTTCGAACTATTAAATCCTATTTTGACACCAATCAATTATGATAAATATGAATATGAATTCTGGAAATAAAAAATGATGTTTTGACAATTAAAAGACCTTACGTGATGCATGATGGTAAGCTAGGGTGTTAACACTCGAGGTTGGATCGCTAATTGCTTTTGCTTTGAATGTTATGATTATTGACGATCATGATGTATGATTATTATGGATTAATGATGATGATTATTCTGAATAAAAGTATTGAACTAGAATCAAAATAAATGGATTGATGAAAAATGAGTTGTATTGTTAATGCTATCTAGAAGACCTCTAAGATATACCTCCTATTAGAATGGGCCTTGCGGGTATAATTATGTATATTCGGTGGCCTTGGGTAAAAACGTACGTACGGGATCCATAACCAAACTAGAGGAACTCGTTTGGGGATACCACCCAACCCGACAGTTAGTATCCTACTGTTCGGTTTTCTGGATTTGTACCTTAAGCGAAGGCTAGTTTAAGAGTTGGTAAATCAATCGGAATATATGTACCTTAAACTAATGACCTAGCTTAAGAGTTGGATAGAAGTACCTTAAACTAGAATAAGTTTAAGAGTTGGTAATTATCACAAAANGGTGGCCTTGGGTAAAAACGTACGTACGGGATCCATAACCAAACTAGAGGAACTCGTTTGGGGATACCACCCAACCCGACAGTTAGTATCCTACTGTTCGGTTTTCTGGATTTGTACCTTAAGCGAAGGCTAGTTTAAGAGTTGGTAAATCAATCGGAATATATGTACCTTAAACTAATGACCTAGCTTAAGAGTTGGATAGAAGTACCTTAAACTAGAATAAGTTTAAGAGTTGGTAATTATCACAAAATTGGCCTTAAACTAAGCATAGTTTAAGGATATTATTGAATAGTGAATGTGAATGTTGTTTATTGAAATATTGAAATAAAAATATTGATAATATCATGAATGACTTATATATTGTGTGCATGATATCAAATGATTGTTTGTGAATTGAGATTCAATTTGTGTGGATGTTCGACGCTTTAGATATGCTTACTCAGCTTCACCGCTGAGCATGTAGTATGTTTTATTTGCTTTACGCAGGTAGACTAAATGAATGAAGTGATGA